TCTCTGCCTCCCAGGTTCAAGCATTCTCCTGCCTCAGCCTCCCGAGTAGCTGGGACTACAGGTGCATCCCACCATGCCTGGCTAATATTTTGTATTTTGGTAGAGACAGGGTTTCACCATGTTGCCCAGGCTGGCCTCTAACTCTTGAGCTCAGGCAATTCACTTGCCCCAGCCTCCCAAAGTGCTAGGATTACAGGTATGAGCCACTTACCCAGTGGCCTTTCCACTTTTCAAAGCACTCAGCATGCTTAAGTGCCATATTTTGGGAAATTATTTTCTGCACCCCAACACCAATCTGTGAAGCTTAGCACCTCAATGTCCTCATGCAGCGGTCTTTTCCAGTCCTGTATTCCTCTAGTCCTTTCCAAACACCCCTCAAGTTAGACAGGTCTCTCTTCACTGTCTCTCTTCTTTAGAAGCACAGAATTAGGCACATAGTAGGGCACAAAAATACTAAATCATCAAAACTGAATGCCTCAATACATTCTAAAAAGTAGAAATAGCACATGCCAAAACAAAAATTGCAAATTTCTTAGAAATAGTAATAATAGAAACAATCAGCATCAAATCTAATGGTATATGGCCAAAGCTGAGTTTAAATGAAATTCATAGTTCTCATATTTGCCTAACAGAAAAGATTTAAAGTAAATTTAGTTATAACTCACAGAATAAGGATTGTAATTGATGGAGCAGAAAGCAAAGACACTATATTATAGTATTATAGTATACTTCCTTGAGTTAAAGGCCTGAATCCCCCTCCGCTATCAGCATTTAATACAGAACCAAGAGAGTGGGAATTTCTCTCTTGTTCACTGCTGTATTACATCACTAGAAAAGTTCTTGGTACAACACCAGCACTTCATAAATATTTATTTAGTGAATGAGTAACATACAACCTGCACTGTGCTAAGTATCTGACATGGCTTATCCCATTTAATCCTCTTAGCAACTCTGTCAGGTAGACAGTATTATTATCATCGCTATTTTACCGTAAGAACAATTGAGGCCAGCCATGGTGGCTCCCACCTGTAATCCCAGCACTTTGGGATTTGCCCGAGGTGGGCAGATCACTTGAGCTCAAGAGTTCAAGACCAGCCTGGGCAAAACCCAGTGTCTACTAAAAATGTAAAAATTAGCTGGGTTTGGTAGCACAGGCCTGTAATCCCAGCTACTGGGGAGGCTGAGACAGGAGAATCACTTGAACCTGGGAAGC